GTAAGACAAGAGATCAATGTCATGATTCACTTGGCTTTCACTGTGCTATATGTCCATTTGAAGATGGATAGATTAGATCTGGATCTTCACTCCAGCACAGGATTAGATCATGTGATAGCAGATTGAGAATACATGAAGTCAATAGCCTACAGAGGGCCATGGGTATATAGCTGATTTCAATAAGAAGGGCAAAATCCCTCCATTTCATGGATGCTTAAGAGCTTCATAAATGGATCAAGCAAGTTGAGTTTTGGAAGTTGTAGAGATCCCATCTCATGGGAGGAGTAACCTTTTCCAGCAAGTCAACAGCTGCAAAAAGGTCAGGAGAGTATGGAGATGTTAGAGAACAGGGAAAATGATATGGCTGTTCCCCTATGCTGCCATGGTGTGTGCCAGGGTATGCAAGTGCAGCTTTTCTGCAGGAGGAGGTAATCCCTTAGTACAGCAGTGGCCAGTACACCATGCACTCACAGGAGGTATGGGCACAGTCATACTCCCTGTGTTTGTTACTGGTTATACCATGCCTATCTACCCTAAACTGCATTGCTTTCCAATCACATATGTAATTCTGAGTTGAAGGAGCTTCTGCTGTGTGACTGGAACATTTGAAAGCTGATTGCACATTCTTGGGACATAATGGGGAGCTCAGGGATTTTGAGCACCAGGTTGAAAAGGATCCTTCTGTTACTTTCTTCTCACATAGCAGCACTAGGGCTCAGCTTACATATGAATCAAAGCTGCCATTTCACTAGTTCAGATCTCTTTTTTTTCAGCAAGTTGCTAGCAGTAGCTCAGAAACTTCAGGAACATCTTTATATTTCTTTGCCTTTTAATAAACATAACTGAGCAATCTAGTGGTGGGTCTATATTCTGTCTCTGTACAGTATCACCATGCAGATAGTAAGACAGTCATCTTTCTTCTTGGAAATTATTTCCATTATTAAAAAGAATATGAAGATTAAATAAATATGTGGACTTTTGGTGGGTTTGTTTTGTTGGGTTTTTTTCTTTCTTTTCCTCTCTTTTTTTAACTACAAAGTTTCAGAAAATAAATTTTTAAACCCAGACTCCATGTTAAACAAGGATTTGGAAGACTTACTCTGAGTGGAAAAAGGATTAATAGCTTGGGAGTTAGCAGGGATGATTGAGAGGTCTTTAAACTAAGTTCATAGGGGAAAGGGACTAAGACCAGTCTCATGAAAATGAGCCTGGGGGCAGCATGCTATTGCTGAGGGTGAAATTGATAGCCCAGGTGAACTGCATCTACACCAATGCACACTGTATGGGTAGCAAGGAGGAGGAGCTGAAAGCCACTGTACAGCATGAAAGTTATGATATAGTCACTATCATGGAGACATGATGGGATGACTTTCATGACTGGAGTGCAGTAATGGATGACTGTAAGCTCTTTAGAAGAGACAGGCGAAGCAGAAGGTGATGAGGTAGCTCTGTATGTTAGGGAGCATTTTGATTGTATTGAAATTGATGATGATAAAGACAGCAAGATTGAGTGCCTATGGGTAGAGATCAGGGGGAAGGTCAGTAGGGTGGGCATCACGGTGGGAGTCTGTTATAGACCACCCAACCAGGATGAACAGGCAGATGAGACATCCTACAAGCAGCTGGCAGAAGTCTCAGAGTTGCTGGCCCTTGTGCTTGTGGGCAACTTAAACTTGCCCAATGTCTGCTGGAAACACAACACAGCAGAGAGAAAGCAGTGTATGAGGTTCTTGGAGTGTAAGAAAACTTCCTAACACAACCAGTAAATGATCCCACCAGAGGAAGTGCCCTGCTGGACCTGTTGTTTGTGAACAGAGAAGGACTAGTGGGTGATGTGGTGGTCAGTGGCCATCTTGGGCATGGTGATCACAAAATGCTAGAGTTTTGAGTACTGGGTGAAGTAAGAAGGGCCAACAGCAGAATTTTCACCTTGGACTTCTGGCAGGCGGACTTTGGCCTGTTTAGGAAGTCAGTCTTGAAGGGCAAAAGAGTGCAGGAGGGCTCAATGTGCTTTAAATATTAATTGTTAAATATTCAGGAGCAGCCTGTCACCATGTCTAGAAAGACAAGTTGTCGAGGAAAAAGACTGGCCTGGTTAAACA